CAGACGTGTGCTCTTCCGATCTCCCCAAAACCCCAAAACCCCAACTGGTAAAATTTGAGATAAATTAAAGAAATTAAAAGTATATGAATAGCAATCGGTTTTAACTCTGATTTAAGATTATTCCTTAATCATGCTGATTTTTCTTCATCTAACGATCTAGTTAATGGAGATCCAGAAGAAGGCTCTCTTCGCATTTTTGCTTTTCTCTATTTTACATTTTGTCTGCTTACATAAGCTATCAGAGTTACCGATGCCAAAGTACCTCCTATCAGTCCTAGAAGGATGTAGGTAGCTGGAGAAAGTTGAACACCAGCTTGCTCAGTTTTCTATTATTCTGGTTATTATTATCCTCCCATTGATGGATCATCTTTTAAAGCACTCTCAAGTAATTAAATTAACTCTTCCATTTTCTTATTCTAAGTATTTTACTAGCTTCCGATATCTTTAATAGCATTAGAAATCATAGAGGTGTGCTAATTGATTGTGTTTGCATTTTCTGAAAGAATATGATTAAGTTATTCCCTAAGTTATTCCACTTCATTATTAATATTTGATTATTATGCTAGTTTCTAATTAAAATCAATTAAAATTAAAAGATACTTACCACTTATTTTTGAGCTTATGCAGTTGCCTATGGCATCTACTATTGCATTTAAGGCACTGTTACTTGCTTGTAGGTAGACTCTTCAGCCACCACTGAGCTAGGGGTTTGATCTTTCATGGGTGTGGTAGCCATTACCTCAAGCATCCACTTTTTAAGAGTATCATAGTTTCTGGGTTGATATTTGAAGGCACTATAAGTTTTGCCATTGGTACCAGGGACAACAGCAACGAAGTATGGATATGATGGAACCTTGTACAACTCCTATAGCTTTTTGATTTTGTTTCCATCCACCTTGATGAATTCTACCTTTTCCTCTCCATACCACTCATTCATATCTTCAATCAACTAGTTGAAATCAGCTAAGATATAGTAGCACCAAGAGCAGTATTCCATGTAAAAGTCGATAAAAACAAATTTATTCTTGCCTTCTCCTCCAAGTAAATCAAAGTATTCCTAAGAGCTGTGAATGGGTTTGGCCAGACTCTACTCCCACCAATTATCAGGTAAGCTCCCTTTTGCTTCTGTTTTATGTTAGATCCCCGAAATAGCACTAAAAATCACAAAACTTAAGACTAAATGTGTGAAGAGATGTTGGATATTTGATTTTTTCATTATCACTTTTAATACTACGATACTTATATATATATATTCAGTTTATTAATTTCCAGTTTAAATATTCCGACAATCTCAATTTCATCCATAAATTTTACCACATGGGGTTTTGGGGTTTTGGGG